GGGAGGCCCTTCTCTCGATCCCGCCTGCCTCACAGGCACGCCTGGCGGGGACGAGGGATAGGGCCTTCTCGGTGGTGGCCCCCCGGCTGTGGAACACCCTCCCTGTAGACATCAGACAGGCGCCCTCCCTTATGACATTCCGCAAGAGACTAAAGACGTGGTTGTTTGAGAAGGCGTTTGACTAAGTGCTACAACAATTGGCAATGACGATTGGAACGGAACATGGATAACGAGATCGGATTGTGATTCTATGATGAGACGTTGCGAATGATTTAGTGTAATTGTATTATTGATAGTGATGCTGTTATTGTTGTTTGTGATATTGCTTATATTGTAAATTGTTTTTATATGTTGTACACCGCCATGAGTCGCCCTAGGGCTGAGAACGGCGGTCTACAAATGCAGTAAATAAATAAATAAAACAAAACCGAAAACGCAAATAATAAACAATAATAACGCCATTACATAAAACAAAAGACAACATAGCAATATAAAATTACAATAAACATAATCACAATAACATGGACGAGCTACATGTAATGGATAAAAGAAAACTGGGTGAAATCAGATTAAAAACTCAGGCGAGATAAACACGAGATAAACAAGGACAGATTATTTGCGGAGGAGAGCTCATTTTAGTGGAGATCGTGAAGCAAAACCTTCCTATAGGGGGGAATGAGATGACAAGGGACACCCAGATTTTTATTATTTTATTATTTTACTCTGTTATCATTATTTTTATTACATTTATTATTTTACTCTATTTATTATGATTACTACATTGACATTATTTTACTCTATTAGTATTACATTTATTATTTTACTCTATTATTACTACTATTACATTTCCATTATTTTACTCTATTATTATTATGTTTATTACATTTATTATTTTACTTTCTATTATTATTGGAAGGATACATAAACACCTTTACCAGGAAGAAGGTTAGAATAATGGTTTAATCAGAATTGGACAGTCTTATCTTACATTTCAGTTTTATGTACATATTCAAAAACATTTAACCTACTGATGCCTCAATTAATGTAATGTTATTAGTATCTATTTTCATTTTGAAATTTACCAGTAGCTGCTGCAGTTCCCATCCTTGACTTATACTCAAGTCAATACATTTTCCCATTTTTGTGTATGGTAAAATTAGGTGCCTCGGCTTTTATTTGGGTTGGCTTATACTCGAGTGTATACGGCACCTCCTCTTCTGCTCTTTTGGGAAATGCCTTTTTTCCTCTTTGTACATGCTTTTCTCAATAAACTGCTGTATTAGTACTTCTGGACTTTGGTGTGGTGCTGGGTGAAAAGGTGTTTCAGGTCTTGAATACAACAACAATTCTATAGCCTATGAAACAAATATATGCACTTGGAAGTAGATATAGGATATTCACTTTTCACTGGAGCTGGGTGGGGACTCTGTCCCTTACTTAAAAGTGGGTAACTTCATGGAGTCATAGCTAATGCATTGCAAATATTTAATTTAGATCTGTTCTGCTACAGTTGTTCAAGCTTCCTTACTGTCTAGCTACACATGAAATGCAGTATTTTAAAACAGATCCCTAGTTACCATTAAACAAATAAAAAGGAAAGAACATCCCAGAGGAGAGGCTTTTGAGCTAAATATAAAATGCTCCCTTCCCAATTCCAAATACATTTTTTTTCAATACAGAATTACTTGAAATACCACAAGGAGAGAGTTATGGCATAAATAAATGTCTGGAAGGGCTCTTTTTTCCAAGTTTCTTCAAGCTGCTTTTACATTTAATCCACTTTAAACTGTTCTGGGACAGATTCCCAATGTGCAATTAAGATAGCCAGTTTTCTGTGACACTAGTCTGTAAAAGCTGAAAGCAAGTTATGCATGCATCTGTTTTTCAGGAACCTCATCATGAGAAATTTCCCGATGAATGGCAAAATAAACTGGGAGAGTTTCAGAGAATGCTCATCATCCGCTGCTTGAGATCTGACAAAGTAAGTGTGAATAACCGAAGGACACTGAGATTATTTATTTATTTATTTACTTCACTTTTATACCGCTTTATTCACCCCAGCGGGGGACTCAAAGCAGTTTCCAGCATAATTATGGCAAAATTTAATGCCTCTCATACAGAAACCTAACATAATGATAAAAACACACAATTATCAATTAAATCATAAAACACAACATCATTTAACATTAAACTTGGAATTAAAAACATATAAATATAAAACATTAATCCAACATTCATAGTCCAGGCCATTCCAAATATCGCTTTGAGTCCCCCTCGGGGTGAGTAAAATGGTATACAAATACTGTAAATAAATATCATATCTATTGCATATAATCCCTGATCATTCTTTGTACTGCTCACTGCCCAAAGGCTTAGTCCCATAGCCAAGTTTTTACTTTTCTTCTGAAGGCCAGGAGGGAGGGCGTTGATCTAATTTCATTGGGGAGAGAGTTCCATAGCTGAGGAGCCACCACCGAGAAGGCCCTGTCTCTCGTCCCCACCAATCGCATTTGCGAAGGAGGTGGAACCGAGAGCAGGGCCTCCCCAGATGATCTTAATCTCAGAGATGGTTCATAGAGGGAGATACGCTTGTACAGGTAAGCTGGAACCATTTAGGGATTTATAGACTAAAGTCAGTATTTTGAATTATGCTCGGTAGCAGACTGGCAGCCAGTCAAGCTGGCGTAACAGGGGGTTATATACTCTCTGTATGCCACTCCGGTGAGTAATCTGGCCGCTGGATTAATTGAAGCTCCCAAACAGGCAACCCCACATAGAGCATGTTGCAGTAGTCTATACAGGATGTAACCAAAGTATGGACTACTGTGGCCAAGTGTGACTTCCCAAAGTATGGGTGCAACTGGCACACAAGTGTTAGTGGTGCAAATGCTTCCCTGATCACTGCCGAAACCTGGAGCTTCAGGCTCAGCAATGAATCCAGGATCACTCCCAAGCTGTGAACCTGTGTCTTCAGGGGGAGTGCAACCCCATCCAGCACAGGCTGTAACCCTATACCCTGTTCAGAGGCTAACTAGAATGAATATTGCTTAATTTCTCCTTTCTCAAGATTCTACCTAGATCTTGATCAGGTTTGTGTTGGAGAAATGTGTGAAGACAGTTAAGTTCTGCATGGGCCTCTCTTCATTCCTGACACAATTCCTTAATTTTTATGTTTTATTTGTGACAGCCTGTGTTTGAAGTTGCCATACAAATTTAGTGAGTAGTCATTATCTCACTCATGTATTCTCAGCAGTGCAAGTCATTCAATCTCAGTTGTCTTCTTTCTCTTATGTTGACTTGCAGTTGACTCTTTGAGGATTCCCATTCCAACGAATCTACGAATCCATTCTGGATTTTAGTTTGAATTTTGAAAGAGGTGTTGAATTTATAAATGGGACCAGGGGGCAGGATAAGAGCGCAATATCTTTGATAGCTCCTTTCAAGCTCCAAGTTAAACCCAGAACTTATTCACTATCTCACTGATATGGAGTGCATCTATAATGTAGAATGAATGCAGTTTGACACCACTTTAACTGCCATGGCTCAATGCAGTGGAATTCTAGGGTTTGTAGTTTCATGAAGCACCAGTGTTCTTTGGTAGAGAAGGTTAAAGACCTTGTAAAACTACAACTCACAGGATTGCATAGTATTCAGCTATAGCAGTTACAGTGATGTCGAACTGCATTAATTCCACAGTGTGAATGTACCATGGATGCCAACAGTGGTTGCATACACGTAACACACATTTTCAGGTGCTAAGAGATTTGTTTTCATCATGCCAGCTGAGTTGAACATATTGGTTATGGTCCTCTCTTTCAGTTACTGCGGTCTCTAAAATGTACTGTTTCTGCAACACATTGGGATAATTTCTTCACAAATTGGATAAGGAATTATCAATTTTCCCCACAGACGATTTTCAAACCACTATGTGGCTGAAATGAGAGGTTTTAAGGGGTTCATTTTGTGTTTTAAGAAGGATGTGTGGCCCTTCTATACTACCATATAAAATTCAGATTATCTGTTTTATTTATTTATTTATGGCATTTATATGTCACCCTTCTCACCTCGAAGGGGACTCAGAGGGGCTTACAAGATATATATACATACAATATGTTATATGTATATAATACTGATATTGTGCTATGCTAATAATATAATACAATTGTACTATACAAATATATTGTAATATTAGTAATATTACATGTAATATAAAGTATATATTTATAATATTGTATTATTAGTTTTATGTTGTATTACAGTATAAAATTATAAATATTATATGTATATAGAGTATATAATATGTTGAAGTGAATTATATGACAGTGTAGACTCAGTTCAAATCAGATAATGTGGACTATCTGATTTGATAATCTGGGCTATATTGCAGTGTTAAAGGGACCTGTGTTTCCCAGGTCCCTGTTTTTGATTTAGAGGAGATATTCTTCCTATTCCATTTGCAAGGGTGGGCAGTCCATGGCCCAATAGAAGATGGACTCCAACAGTCCAAGAGCAACTAGTGCCCAGCATTATGAAATTTTTCTTTTTCTGTACTTCAAACCTTTTGACCAACCCTCTTTCAGACTTGGTTTTCTTTGAATACTTTTCATAAGTGCCAGGGGAAAGATATTTGATTCCACAATTGAAAAAAGCTAGATATATATTGCCACCAACATTCTGCTTCTGAACCACAAAAGCAAAGTTGTTGAAGCTAGATATTCCCAGCACTATAAGGCATCTTTTTGAGGTGCAGATCAGTACAAGTTAATTCATTACGTTACAGTTAGTACAGTGGCGGCACAGAAAGGTGCAAGTGGGCATAACTATCCCCAGAGAAGGTGATCCTCCATTATGTTGGGACACTTTCTTGCCCGGTTAGCCACAAGATTATTGCACTTAGTTGTAAACATGATCAACCTGTTTGTCTGCTTGAAAGAAGATTCACACAGTTCTATTGAAAATTCTTTATTTAAAAAAGATGTCTTTCTTGTGTGTCTCCTACACAACATTGGGTTTCATAAGGCCAATATTTTCTCATTTTCCCCACTTCTGGTTTCATGTAGAACATTGTAGATCAATTCCAGCATCAGGAACAGAGACATATCCAAGTATTCCTCTCCCCTGTCTACCAGCACATATTACCAAGTTGTTCCCCTTCAGAGCTGCTTTCTGGGCAATGCTACACGCCCTTGTCATAGGCCTATGTTTCCATTGGTTGCGCTTGTCAGCAGAGCGGGCTTGCCTTCTCCGTTCTGACATATTGTCTTCTGTTCAGCCATGAACACACAGTGTTCTTTTGCAGCAGAATCTATACCCGGCAGGAAGGTCTGGGGTGGTTTTTCCCAGTCTGGAGTAAATTCGTATTTATTCACAAAATGATCCACAAGGCGCTTTCTAGTTAGGGCCACTTCCTTTTCAAAGGCATGTATTACACTTCTGCCAGTTTTGCACTAAAGGAGCAAGCAGAGAATTTCATTTAGTTGCAATATGTTTACAGACTAGGCATGTAGCACTGACTATTACAAACAGTGGCAAGGGACTAGAAGTAATAGAAGAACTATAATCTCTTACTTACAAGGAAAACCCTGACTCGCTCCATCTCTTTTTCGTAGTATTCCTCCACTGTTAGGTCATCAAAATTCTTAGAAAGGGACAAAAATCCACAAGAGTCGTTGCTACGTTTGGCATGTTCCTGCCTGTAAAAAGAATAATTTTCACATAAATCTATATAAATAACAATTTAATGTTTGTTTGTGAGATTACCATAACTCAAAAACCACTGGACGAATTGACACCAAATTTGAACACAATACACCTATCAGGCCAACGAGTGATCATCATTCATAACACTGGAAAACACAGCAGAAGAGACTTCAAAAGCCAAAAAATTAAAAAAAATACATCACAACGTATGCGCATAAGCTCACACCACTCCCCGGATTCGAACTTTCAGTCAACAAGCTTAGCAGCTCAGTGGTTTAATCCACTGTGCCACCAGGGGCTCCCTATACAAGTATAGTAAATAAATACGTAAACCAAGCTTTACCTTAAAAATCAATTTTTCTTGAATATATCTAGCCTATTACTTCAAATTGTCTTTGCAAACCAATTTCTAGCTTAATGAACTTTGCTCAAGTGTCCTTACCAGGGGTCATCATTGGGCTCCCATCCCTCCAACTCTATCAAGCAAAAGAAACACTTCACCACATCTGGTTCATCTGTGTTTGGACACTGGATAAAACCAGCACTGGCCATCTGCATGGAAAGAGAAAACCCACATAGGTTCCATGGGATCATCCAGACATTTTATAATATTGTAAATACACCACTCTATAGGCTCAGGATCGAAAGGTCGCAGGTTCGATTCCGGGGAGCGGCGTGAGCTTCCGCTGTCAGCCCCAGCTTCTGCCAATCTAGAAGTTCAAAAACATGCAAATGTGAGTAGATCAATAGGTACCGCTTCGGTGGGAAGGTAACGGCGCTCCATGCAGTCATGCTGGCCACATGACCTTGGAGGTGTCAACTGACAATGCCGGCTCTTCGGCTTAGAAATGGAGATGAGCACCACATCCCAGAGTCAGACATGACTGGACTTAATGTCAGGGGACTACCTTTACCTTTACCTAATAGGCTCAGGAAACTTACAATATTTTAACATTTCTTCCTCATTTTGAAAATAAGTCTAAGAAACTTAAGATGTGTTTGGATTTCTGCCAGTCACATACATGTCGAAATATTTTCATGCTGAGCAGCAGAGTTATATTACAATTATCTTTGCTTTTGAATTATGCTTAAAGTGCCTCCTGCTTAGCTTCACCATATAAACTTACTCTGTTCGCCCGATCCAAAATATGGGTTCTCCGCATTTATCTTGCGAGGTTTACAAGGTCAAATTAAGTCTTTGATCCAGCAGCTATTGGCAAGATTTATTCTACTTAGTTTGCACGATTATCGTTGTGTTTGCTTAACCTTGCATATTCAGCTTTTGCAGAGCTTGCCCCAACTGCAATTTATGTTGCTTAGGGAGGTTTAGTGGACCAGAGCAAAGATAGGACAGAAAAACATGGAAGTAGCCAATGTTAAAGTGAAAAGGCAGCATCCAAAGCTGCACAAGCAGATTTCTGTGCAGACAAATGCATTTTCTATTTCTGCTGTTTTTCTTCTCTCTGAGGGCCCTTCCACACAGCCCTATATCTCAGAATATCAAGGCAGAAAATCCCACAATATCTGTTTTGAACTGGGTTATCTGAGTCCACACTCAGATAATGTGGGATTTTTGGCCTTGATATTTTGGTATATAGGGTTGCGTGGAAGGGCCCTAATGCTCCTTTCCTCCAGTACTGTTGCTCAAAGGCCCTTCCAGACAGGCCCTATATTTCAGGATCTGATCCCAGGTTTTCTGTTTATCCCAGATTATCTGGTAGTGTGGACTCATATAATCCAGTTTAAAGCCGAAAACCTGGGTTCAGATCCTGGGATATAGGGATTGTCTGGAAGATGACTTACAAAAATTCATACATGAAATTATATATTATATAATCAATTAAATTAACATAGAATTAAAATTCTTGCACACAAATCCATTAAGACACAAAATCAGTAAAGCAGTATGCTTCTTCAGTGATTTCTTGTGTGATTAACAACAGTAGTTTGCCTCAGTTCACAGGGGCTTCAGTTTTACTTTAATTTAGTTTTTCTATGAGACAGCTGAATGTCATTTGGAAGGTCGATAGTATAAAACTAATTGGAAATACAACAACAACCTCAACTCTGGCTATAACCTCTCTAGAAGAGGAGCTTTTGGAGTAAGAAGACATGTTGTGTCTTTCTTCTACTAGAAAACATAAGAATATATTGAAATATAGCATTCCCACAGGGAATTTAATAGATTTTCAGCTGTCTTCTTCTAGAACATACACTTCTAAAAAATGACATTTTAAAACTATCAAGGTTTGTGTAAACATTCGTTCCTTTTAAACTCACTAGCACTCTCTTTAAATAGTATACATAGCCCTCCAAACTTGTGTGTTATTTAAATATAGAGTCCCCATAGTATCTTGATAGACTTACATTTTCAGGAGTGCATTTGCAATTCTCCTTAAAAGGCCACTGAGTGAAGGTTTTCAAGCGATTTTCATACTCATACATATCCCTAAAGTCAAAGAGGCTGTTGGTAGTTGCATGGATGTCTTTGAGGATTGTCTCCATTTTAAGAAGTTGGTTTAGTCACCTTCTTTCTCTACACTGATATTGTGTGGTTTCTCTCTTTGTATTTAAGTCAATTTGTGAGCTCTCTTGATCGGCTTCACCTGTAAACACCATTTCAAAATTAAATGTTTGCAACTGTCAGAAGGGAAAGAGCTGTGGTCAAATGTTCTCCTCTACACTGAGGTCATGCATTGTGTTTGGAGAACAAGTTGTGTAAAAAGCATAGTCAGTCACTTATAGATCTCAGTGGGATTGCATTAAGACAAACTTCAGTATGTGTATACTGAGGGTGGTTGCCCAATTTTACACAGAAGGAAATTCTACTTTGGTCAATTATGATCTACTCTTAAAGAAGTGTTTTTAATGAACTATTATTTTCTACTAGAATGGACACCTTGGAGTCTTGTAAAAGTTTGTTGCTGGCAAAACATACTGATTTGGAAATATGTGTCATTGTGATCAATAGAACTTGCTTCATGGAATCTAGAAAGTCATATCATCTATAAGGTGATATAAGGTTATTTCCTTGGAGTAAGCCCCATTGAGTTTGATGGAGCTTACATCCAAGCAGGTGGGCATGTAAGCTTTTTTGTGTGTATCAGGAGCAACTTGAGAAACTGCAAGTTTCTTCTGGTGTGAGAGAATTGGCTGTCCACAAGGACGTTGCCCAGGGGATGCCTGGATGTTTTCCTATCCTATGGGAGGCTTCTCTCATGTCCCCTCATGAGAAGCTGGAGCTGACAGACAGGAGCTCACCCCGCTTCCCGAAGTTGAACCACTGACCTTTTGGTCAGCAGTTCTGCTGGCACAAGGGTTTAACCCATTGCACTACATAAAAGAAAGCTCTAAAAAGCTCAGTCGTGTTTATTCCTAAAATAAAATATAACCTATAAACCCCTCATACCATATCTATATAAATAAAAATGTAATGTTCGTTTATGGGGTTAACATAACTCAAAAACCACTTGACGAATTGACACCAAATTTGGACACTATACCTATCAGGCCAGTGAGTGACCAGCACTCATAAAAATACTGGAAAACACATCAGAAGAGACTTAAAAAGCCAAAAAATAGAAAATACATTCCAATGCATGTGCAAAACCACACACACACACACACACGCACATATATACGCAAATACACAAATATACACACACATACATACACACACAAAACACATATACACAGACTGGGCCAGAGCAAGGCGTGGCAGGGGACATCTAGTCTATATATATAAATTTGTTAGGGGCATCCAACGGAGAAACAAAACTCAAAAACCCCCCAACGAAACTTAACCAAAATTCCCATGCCCATAACACAACCCACAAGGTACAAACATATCTACTCAAAATGAAACACAAAACAACAACACACTCACAAAACGGCAAAACAACAAAACTCAAAAAACCCCAACGAAACTTAACCAAAATTCCCATGCCCATAACACAACCCACAAGGTACAAACATATCTACTCAAAATGAAAAACAACACAACAACACACTCACAAAACGACAAAACAACAGAACAAAAAAAAAACCCAACAAAACTTAACCAAAATTCCCATGCCCATAACACAACCCACAAGGTACAAACATATCTACTCAAAATGAAAAACAACACAACAACACACTCACAAAACGGCAAAACAAAAAAACTCAAAAAACCCCAACGAAACTTAACCAAAATTCCCATGCCCATAACACAACCCACAAGGTACAAACATATCTACTCAAAATGAAAAACAACACAACAACACACTCACAAAACGGCAAAACAACAAAACTCAAAAAACCCCCAACAAAACTTAACCAAAATTCCCATGCCCATAACACAACCCACAAGGTACAAACATATCTACTCAAAATGAAAAACAACACAACAACACACTCACAAAACGGCAAAACAACAAAACTCAAAAAAACCCCAACGAAACTTAACCAAATTCCCATGCCCATAACACAACCCACAAGGTACAAACATATCTACTCAAAATGAAAAACAACACAACAACACACTCACAAAACGGCAAAACAACAAAACTCACAAACCCCAACGAAACTTAACCAAAATTCCCATGCCCATAACACAACCCACAAGGTACAAACATATCTACTCAAAATGAAAAACAACACAACAACACACTCACAAAACGGCAAAACAACAAAACTCAAAAATCCCCCAACGAAACTTTAACCAAAATTCCCGTGCCCATAACACAACCCACAAGGTACAAACATATCTACTCAAAATGAAAAACAACACAACAACACACTCACAAAACGGCAAAACAACAAAACCAAAAAAAACCCAACGAAACTTAACCAAAATCCCCATGCCCATAACACAACCCACAAGGTACAAACATATCTACTCAAAATGAAAAACAACACAACAACACACTCACAAAACGGCAAAACAACAAAACTCAAAACCCCCAACGAAACTTAACCAAAATTCCCATGCCCATAACACAACCCACAAGGTACAAACATATCTACTCAAAATGAAAAACAACACAACAACACACTCAGAAAACGGCAAAACAACAAAACTCAAAAAACCCCAACGAAACTTAACCAAAATTCCCATGCCCATAACACAACCCACAAGGTACAAACATATCTACTCAAAATGAAAAACAACACAACAACACACTCACAAAACGGCAAAACAACTGAGCATGCGCATTGGCGCCCAGCCGCAAGTTCCCTGGCGCGCGCACATGGCCTTCTGGCCAACGTTCCCTCTGCGGAAACCATGCCCACTCCAAGCCCCGCCGCGCCGCTTCCCGCACACACACACCCCCTGCCGCACACACACACACAACCCCACACTCCATCACTCCCCCCGCCGCCGCACACACACACGCAACCCCACACTCCATCACTCCCCCCGCTGCCGCACGCACACACACAACCCCACTCCCCCCGCCGCCGCACACACACACGCAACCCCACGCTCCATCACCCCCCCCGCCGCCGCACGCACACACGCAACCCCACTCCCCCCGCCGCCGCACACACACACGCAACCCCACGCTCCATCACTCCCCCCGCCGCCGCACACACACATGCAACCCCACACTCCATCACTCCCCCCGCCGCACACACACACACAACCCCATGCTCCATCACTCCCCTGCCCCAATCTTACCTCCTTTTACTTCACGCCACCTCCAAACCCCCCCCCCCCCCTTCCCGCCCTGTCAAAATCTAGGAAAGACAGGAAGGAAGGAAAGAAGGAAGAAAGAGAAAGGGAGGTAAAGAAAAAGGGGAAAGGAAGGAAAGTTAGAGAAAGAAGGAAGAAGAAAAGGAAAGAAAAGGATAGATGAAAGGAAAGAAAAGAGAGACAGCAGAAAAGAAAGAAAAAGGGGGAAGGAAGGAAAGAGATAGAGAAAAAAGTGGAGAAGGAAAGATGGGAGGGAGGGAGGGAGGGAGGGAGGGAAGGAAGGAAGGAAGGAAGGAAGGAGGAAGGAGGGAAAGGAGAGAAAGAGGGAAGATTGGCCACAGCAACACGTGGCGGGTAAAGGTTGTTATTTCTATTATTATTATTATTATTATTATTATTATTATTATTATTATTATTATTATTATGCTATTGTTCCTATGAGACCCTGGAGGAATGGGAGAGGTGTCAGGTCCCAGAGGCAATGCATTGCATTATTGTTATTGTTATGATGGTGGTAAAATAAAAGGAAATAAAAAGTGAAAGAAGGAAGCAAACAGGGAGGGAAGAAAGGCAAAGGAAGAAAGGGGGAGGGAATGAAGGAAAGAGAGAAGGATGAAACCAAGTAGTGAAAGAAGGAAAGAAAGAAAGAGGTAGAGAAGGAAGAAAGGAGAGAAAGGGGGAGGAAAAGGGGGAAGGAATAGGTAGGGACCTCTCTTTCATAATAGTCCAGATATCTACCTCAACTTTGATAAGTTTTACTATAGGCCACAGCAACGCGTGGCAGGGCACAGCTAGTAGCTTATAAATCATCTTCCTGTGGTAACCAAATGCAGAAGAGGTTCCCATTTCTTTCATAGTTTAAATTTAAGGGAATGTAATGGATGTTTTATTCCTTCATATTGGCTTAGGCAGCTACTCCTCAGATGTTCGGTTGACCTAGAGACATTATGTTGGCACAGTCCAAACTAAGATCACATGCTTTCTCTGTAGCGGTGTGCTGTGCCGCAAGAGTTATAGCCCATAAAGTAATTTTTCCAAACTTTGAGCTTGCCTCATTCAGAAAGCCTTGCATCTTACATAAATGAGCAACCAATAATTAGCAGGCACTGAGTGGACTTGATCATTTGCTGGTTTTAGGTACAGTTCATGTTTAAACATGTAAGATAGATACACAGAGAGTGGCTAGAAATCCATGTTTAATTTTGAAAAACAGAGTGACTTGCAACACATGTAAAAGATGCCGCTGGAAGGCTGGAGATTATTTATTGCCAGGAAAAATAAATCATCTGAGGGAGTGCCAAGGCTCAGGATCACAAAAGCTATTTCGGAAGCATGCCCCATTGCTTTTCTTGTTGCCATGCTAGTGGAGGACCTATTGAACTGGCGGTTGTATATTTTTCAGAGCGCAAGGCTGGTACTCGACACAATTTTTGTTGTTCATGTATTGTGCACAGTTGCTTTGTGTAGTTGCCTTTGAGAGCTGTTTTGCACAACCATTTGCTCAAGGGTGTATTACAATGTGATTGTATCAAGAAATTTCCCTCATCACACTAGAGAATTAATCCACTTTAAATCCGGTTTCTGCATCCTGCAGAGTTCTGGGGTTTGTAGTGTAGGGAGGAGCCTTGAACAGCCTCCCTAAACTACAAACCCCAGAATTCTGCAGGAGGAAGAAACCGGATTTAAATTGGATTCATTCTCTAGTGTGTTGTGGTAGTAGGTCTATGTTTTCTACCTGAAAGACCTTGTGGTCACAGTGTGTTTGGGATACTAGAATTTATATGTGTTTTCCCTGTAGTATTAATGCAATTTGAGAACACTTTAAATG